TACATATATGATATTTATACTTTTAACAAGCGATGTACACGTATTAAATTGAAAAATTTAATTATTCAATTCCTTTAAATTCAAGGCATATTCAGTTCCTGTAAAATTAAAAAAATAGACTTATAACCTTTTAACTTCCAGTTTTCTATATTGCTTTACACCCTATTGGAAAATTATAACCGGAATCCATATAGACAAGTTTTAACGAACTATTTTTCGTGCTATTTACTTTATTTTTCTTGTTTTTAATAGTGTATTCTGTGTGTGTGTATTATTTAAACAAAATTCAACAAACTTTCGTAAAACTTCAAGTTTTTAATAAGAATAGTAACAGAATTATGTATGCAGTTTTGTAGTCCATTAAATTTTAATACAATAAAGTGCAAGTTTGATGCTGAAAATCCTTTGATTTTTGATTTTTTTTTGCTAGCGGTACTGTGCATTTGTACGAAAAAATTGTAGAACGTACCTTTTACGTTTTATTAACAACACCAATCTAGACGTCGTCAAATTAGCGGCCTTTGTTATCGTTAACGACAACAGCTGATTTGGCGCTAACGAATGTTGTTAGGGAAACGTTTACCGAATAGCTAAATTGTTAAAATTGTCGTTTAGTTGACTTAACAACAACAAGAGGTGTTAAAATCTCGTAGTGAATCGCACCACAGGTATGTAACTTGAGAATAGAAATCGCTGCATCTTTTAGGCGCATCAATATTACATAGTTACATCCCGAGCTAATAAGAGGAAGGTAATAATAATGGTAATTTTTACCAAAATGGGGTACTTTAACTCTTTGTAGAAAATATTGTGATGCGCGGGAGCAAAACCTTCCTGGGGTTTGACCACTACTTAGGAATACTAACGTAATTTTTACACAGCCACCTAGTTCTTGTATACGTCTGTGGGACCCCAGAATAAAGTAACTTACGAATGTAAAAATTAGCAAAAAAAAGTGTTTGCTTTTTATTAAAATTCTNATGCAATAAGGGCGCTTCTGTTAAAACTGCTTTCTGAGATATTGGCGTTAAAGTTTTTGATGTGTATAACTTTCTTGTTGATGTAGTATATAAAAAAGTAGTATTGTTGTAGTATTGAAAAAATTTTTCTACTGCGGAAAAAATCGTCAGAAAACGTGTTACCTATGTTTTTTTCTGAGTTACGCTTTTTTTTTGAAGTGGTTAGTGGCCCAAATTATGCAAACAAAACTTCTTTTAAAAATGTAATTTTCATTTCGTAAAATAGTGTTTTTATACGAGTAGTATTTCCTTCAAACGATGTATTTCAATGTGCATACAGCATGAAAATTTTGTACAAAATTCCTTAGGCGCCGAACGCCGCCGATATTTTCGTAACTCGGCGGCGGCGCGTGAGAAATGACAAAAAACGGCGGCGGCGGCGGGGTGGCCCGGCGGCGTATACCTCTATGTCCTTTTCTCCCAAAGTTTACACTGCTGTCAAATGTAAATAAGGATTAAAATTTTAAATACAATTCAAGTAAAATCTGCGGAAAATTAACAATAAAATAATTTTTTTCGCAAAATCTATTAAGGACCTTTTTATTTCTCAAAAATACTGGGTAACAGGTATTCGTCGCCACGCTGCACAGTGCCGCCTAAGTGGGAAAAAATCGAAAAATTCGTTATCTGCAATGTGAACTTGTTTGGTATTTTTGTAAAGACAATTTATCCACTAAAAAGAATTAAACAGACATTTCCATAAAAAATTAATTATATGCCGCCAGGAATTAAAATTTTGGAATAAAATTAAACACAGGGTGTCGCTGCGGTGTTCAAAAAAAATAATTTTTTTATACAAAATTTCAAAAAATGCTAAATTTTAATGGAATGAATAAAAATATATGTAAAAATAGGTTATTTTTTATTATTTTATTAAATAGTACGGGCTGTTATCTTTCAAAAGAAGAAATAAAAACCTGCTCATTTTTTACACTTTTTGAAGTAATGCATAAAATACTTTTTTCATTTTTTTGTCAGTGCCTTGAGATCTGCACGATTCGTTCCATTTTCAATAATGAAGTGTCAGATTAAACAGCTTGATCTGTGGACAATAGAGGTTTTATATTTTTAAGAGTTGCCACCTGTTAAAAAATTAGATTAAATTTTTTTATAAGTTGAATGAATTATTAAGGGATGGGTATCAATCGAAATGTGTATTACTAAATGTAGTAAATGTAGTTTAAAAAATCAAATTCCACTTGAATTAAAGGAATTAGGTAATTGAAATAGATAGGTATCACCATAAGGGAGTCAGACGAAAGAGGTTTAAGAAGGTTTTAGCTTAAAAATATTACGAGTAGGGTTGCCACCTATTTTTCAAGTCGAAACTAAAATAATAATTACGTCAAACCATAGGATTACGCCATCGTATTTGTTGTTTTATTACAAATACGTACATTGTCAATCAGTGATTTGTTCTGATTACATTCCTTTTAAATTACTGGACTCTTAAAACTCAGGAATGTTTTTACTCTCAACTTATTTCTTGCTAAATATGTCAAATTTTTTCATTTGTCTGATACTCATATTGATATACATATTTCAGTTACCTTATTCCCTTAATTAAAGTGAATTTGATTTTTAAAACATGTAGCAACCCTTCTACGTGTCATTTAGAGGTAAAGTATTTTCAAAACTAGTTCAATTGATACCCATATTTTAATATCTAATTCATTTAACTTATTAAATAATTTTAATAAAATTTGTAACAGGTGGCAACCCTTTTCAAAAATAAAAAACTTTATTGCACATCTACAGACCAAGCCCTGCCATTTGACACCTCACTTTTGAAAATAGGACGAACTATATGTACATACCTACATACATACATTGTCGGCCGCTGTGGTGTAGTGGTAAGCAGTGCGCGCTTCCACTCCGCAACGCCTGGGTTCAAACCCTGGTCAAAGCAACATCGCACAAAATATAGAAAAACGGTTTTTTCTTGACAGCGGTCGTCCCTCGGCAGGCAATGGCAAACCTCCGAGTGTATTTCTGCCATGAAAAACAGCTTCTCATAAAAATACAATCGCCGTTCGGAGTCGGCGTAAAACTGTAGGTCACTCCACTTTGTGTGACAACATCCAGGCGCACGCCACAAATCGGAGGAGAAGCTCGGCCAAACACTAACATTTGTGTAAGCGCCAATCTATATATATATAATATATACATACCTATGTAAAAGCCACAAGAACCCAAATTTTCAACTTCAAACTGCAGTTACAGTGAAAGTATAAAAGTTATCCAAAAACCAATTGCATTTTTGAATTTCAATTTTACTAAGAAGCGAATTTTCATTTAATTCCGTCCATATTTCTATTTTTGCCCACATTTTATATGGAAGGGAAGCATAAATAAGTCTCTGAGATGTTTACTATAAGTGTAAAAATGATTAAATAAGAAATATATAAAAAATAGCAAGTATATTTCGTTTTCCCCCCTAACATCAGATTCTGGCTATACCCTTGTTGGTGTACTCGTATACTCGTATACGGCTTATGAGAAAATGATATTATCTAGAAAAATGGTGTACAGATCCGTGATCAACGACCCAAAATTAATTTTACTTGTCTCGGCATTTTTTGTAACATTTTAGCGTCCCTACCATGTAATATATATGTATATACATATATTTGTGTGTATAAGTACAATGACTGTTTGGTATGATTTCTAATACAAACCTTATGGTGGCGCATGTATGTCTTTGCTCCATCCAATAACCGCTCAAATTCTAGGCGATTAGCATTGCGATTAGTTATCACATTTCCAACTTGACCGACAATTGTTGCAAATATAAATACTCCAATTAGATAGCTGACTATAGTAAAAATGTACCTGAGAAATAAAATAAGTAAAAGTATGAAAATCGGAAAATCAAACGTTTGCATCAAAGTTTTCGAAAAACAATGACATAAATGTTAAGAAATATTTTATATCAAATGGTGTTGAAGCTGTCACAAGTTTCGAAAACTTTGATGGCTATCTTAAAACTTTGTGATCGCAGATACATGCATTTGAAAATCACAGCTATAATTAAAATAATGTTTTGATAAAACCAAGTGGACAGCCCCAACATCATTGATATTTGATGCATTCAAAACTCTGTCGCTCATTATGTGAGTCAAATTTCACAAGTCAACGCTGCAGTACAAGCGCGGCATATGTGCATACATACATACATTTGTATGTAGGCCGCTCATTCGGCACCACTATTTTACTTTTACACAAAGATTTAAAAAAATCAAGGTATTTAAAATTTATTCCTTTTTGACACTTATGTATGTATCTTCAACAGCGCAATAGTTTTATATGTTTAAAAACGCGACTACTGCAGTGTTCATAGTTAAAAAGTAATTAAAACCAACTCTATGCTCAGTCCTAACTGATAATAGGGGACCGGATACACCCTCGAAAGAGGTTGATCCCCGCTTTGTCAGTGGTGTGCGTTTAATATTATCCCGTGAACGTAAGACCCTACTCCTTTGAATAGCCTAAAGCTTTTACATATGTATGAAAGGGTTTTTAACATGCTCCGGGATGTTCAATTGTTTTCCGAAATAAATAAAATTATAGTTTAAAAATCTAAAACCTCCCTATTATAATTGCCATTCGTACTGTCATCAGGTATGTAACTTGAGAATAAAAATCGCTGCATCTTTTAGGCGCATCAAGATTACATAGTTACATCCCGAGTTAATAAAAGGAAGGTAAAAAAGGGCACAGTTGAAAAGTATTTAAAATCGAAAAGATAGTATTTCGTCTTCAGCCAACGCCGGTACTCATTTAGATTCGTTGCTTAAAAAAATGCCGAAAAAGACGCTGCTTTTGGTTTCGCGGTACAAGTGCTTACAAGTACATTCTACACGGAGCAGAATGACGGCATCCAAAAAAATTATGTAATGCGGGACCCACGGAACTGATTTCAAAATCGTGCAAGTATCGGGAAGGTTTTGCGGGAGGGACGTGACCAAAATCCTTTCCCGACACGCCCGATAAAACCCGCAACCTCCGTAAAATCAGAAAATCTTCCTTAAATAAATTTTATGAAATAAGAACTTTTTATGTTTTATTGACTCGAAAACGAACAGCAAAGCAAATTAAAATTAATCTGAAATACATGTGAATTAAACTTCCTTAAATAGATTTTATGAAATAAGAACTTTTTATGTTTTATTGACTCGAAAACGAACAGCAAAGCAAATTAAAATTAATCTGAAATACATGTGAATTAAACTTCCTTAAATAGATTTTATGAAATAAGAACTTTTTATGTTTTATTGACTCGAAAACGAACAGCAAAGCAAATTAAAATTAATCTGAAATACATGTGAATTAAACTTCCTTAAATAGATTTTATGAAATAAGAACTTTTTATGTTTTATTGACTCGAAAACGAACAGCAAAGCAAATTAAAATTAATCTAAAATACATGTGAATTAAACTTAGTAATAGATTTCGGTACCCACGGGACCCGCGGTACAATTCTGAAAAACGTCGCGATGGGTGGGTTCGGGATTGAAATTTTTTCCCGTGCCCATCTCTAGTCGGCCGCTGTGACGTAGTGATAAGCAGTGCTCGCTCCACTCCGCAGCACCTGGGTTCAAGCCCTGGTCAAAGCAACATCGAAAAAAATATAGAAAAAAGTTTTTTTCTTAAGAGCGGTCGTCCCTCGGCAGGAAATGGCAAACCTCCGAGTGTATTTCTGCCATGAAAAACAGCTTCTCATAAAAATACAATCGCCGTTCGGCGTACAACTTTAGGTCCCTCCGATTTATGTGACAACATCAAGGCGCATGCCACAAGTCGGAGGAGAAGCTCGGCCAAACACTAACATATGTGTAAGCGCCAGTCTATTATTAATACATCTCTAGTCTAAATAACAAAATTAATTTTTATAATATTACATACTTCACTTTTAGAGGGTGAATCAATTCCAAAGTGACTTAATGTCAATTGATATTATTTCACTATTGGCCTGTGCATTAATGTCATTAACATTATTTCACTTTTGGGCTGTGTATTAATGTCATTGACATTAATTCCATTGACATTATTGCACGTCACCAACTAAAAACCCAAAATTCAATTTTTGATTGACTAAGTTGCATTTTATCGAAATATAAATCCCCACATCGTTTTATGCAATACACATTTTTAGTTAGTTACGGCTTGTTTCAGCGATAGGGTCTTTCTTCTCATGCGGCAACTACACAAAATTTAAGCTTGAAATTTGTACATAATTTCCTTTTTAATTTTGTCAGTAAGTGACATATGTATATAGATGTCGCTCTGTTAAAGCATGTTTTCACTATGTCAAATTATGACATTTGCCGTCAAATAAGTGAGAACACGTTGTCAGATGGGATTAATAAGCCGTATATCGGTTGATTTCGATCAGGATATGTCCTTATATCCTCCTTATGGCTGCTATAATCATCGGTAGGGGTATGGCTAAAGGAGATAAAGTTGTGTTAAAATATGACGACAAATTTGGCGTAAAAATATGCCTTTAGTCAATTCGTTGCAGGTGATATCACTTGCTAATAGCATCTGACATTAGTGGTGTTCTGTTTCCACAATCGACTCATCGGCATATGTGCAATTTTCTTAATTGGTAGCATTTTTTATATTTCATAATTTTCAAATTACATTTTAAAAGAGATTGACATTTCTTCAGTTTTTAGGAAATTCATGCACAAAAATAATGGTAACGAAGTTTCTAAAAAGTTATACGTCTTTTTTGAAGAAACGTTTGTATATTTATAGGGTTGCTATTATTAACCAAGCTAAAGTGCCTAATTTTAAATATTTTCAAATATCGTCTATGAATTTTTCTTAGCACAACGCGCACTAAAAAATTCACAAGCAACACCGACAGTAGAAAAAAAATTCTATCTGATTCATTAAACTGATAAAAATACATTTTCCGGAAAAACACCCAAATGTAAATACTAGGAATGTTAGTCCCGGGATCCAGGCCTTTTTAAGGTCCAAAAAATACCGGGATTCTTGGCAAATAATCCCGGGATTTTTGGAATTTGTAATTTGCACTGATGGCAATAATAGAAACTCCCTTTCTTGACCACAATTGGCTATATTTCTTTTTTTATTTAATAATTAATATTTTTTTTTATAAATGTCTAGCTCATACATATAACAACGCGCGATAGTAAATTTTAAACACAAATGTCGATATATTCGCAAAACCATGGGCCAAATATAGTAAAATTGCGTTTTTAGTTTTTCAATCTGACGTCAGTAATTCAAAAATGATTTAAACAATTCAGAGAAAGGTGCTTAGAGAAGAAGTATGGGTGCCAAATTAAAGAGGAAATCCTGTAGAATTTAAACAGATTCAAGTTTTTGGTGCAGAAGAACTGGTAAGTATTGAAAATGTCCTTTTTAAATTTTATCCTTCACATTTCGCAATATTTGTTTTTGCAATATCGCACACATATATCTAAAGTGCGATCACCTCAAAAAAAATGTTTTTTGCATAAATTAATTCAAAGGACTTAGATCCAATTAATGCAAATATTTTTTTCTTCATGAATATTTACATTAACTAAAAATATATTGTTATACCTGTTTTTTGTATTAATTGCGCTGAATCTGTACAATCCAAAAGCAGTTACATTTTCCTCTATGAATTTTGAGTTAGCTCACTTTAGATCTAGGTGTGCGATATGTTGAGGACTTATATAAACTCGCTAACATCCTCGAATTTCGTCCTTCTAACTTTATCAGCTTAAAAAATTACCTATTTGTCCTTGTGAATCCTTGTGTGCATTTGGTACCCATATTTTTATTCTACATTGTGTTGAATTTTTTAAATAATTTTTGGAATCAATAATATCTTTGAATTGAATTTGAAGTTCTTTAAAATAAATCCTGACGTCAGAGAGAAAAAATAAAAACCACACTTTAAATAAAAAAGTTGGTTTCAAACCCATTTATTTATTATTTATTTCATTGTAGGAGAGCTTCTCAAACAATATAGAAGCGATTTTTTTTCGATTTAAGTTGTTGAAAAGTAATGAATATCTAAATCCCGGGATCCCGGGGCTGTGATATGACATCCCAAAAATCCCGGGATCGGAAAAATCTGAAAAACTTACATCCCTAGTACATACATACATAGGTGTTCATGTATCTATTTTTTTCGTTTACAGAGGACTGTAATGATTGGATTGAAAAAGATAAAATTTTCCGTTAAATTTAAATAGGAATTAAAACAATTACATCCCGGAAAGCATTGATCTAGCGATGTTTTTAATAGCTCCGGTGCATCGAAACATCCAAAAAAAAATTACCCCTACCTAATCGCGCTGCGGTTAGATAACGTAGCGATCTATGCAGATTGACATTTAATCAGTCAGTGAGCATATGGCCTATTTCACGTTTTTCTTTGGTCTGTAGTAAGAAGGTAGAGGTCAAAGTTCAGTGTCTGTAATAAAACTTTTAAACAAAATGAGACGATCAAAAAAGACATGAATGCAGTAAAAGACATGAATGCAGTACGGAAATTATGAAAAAGGAAGAGCTCGGAAATTTTGGACCACTTGCCGTTTTGTTCCTAAACGTACCAATTTATTTTACAGTGTATTGAAGTGGTCCTAATCGGGTCTCAAGTTGATCGAAAGTATTTGAAAAATCTCGTATAACATTACTTTTACCATTAATCTTTTATTTAAGAGTCTATAGTACATTTGAATGTCGCATATTTTTGCGGAATATTTTAACCCACTATTGAGATGATTGACCAAATATATCTAAACCGCCACTTTGTTGATTTGGAACTTTTTCATTAGGAGTCTTCATCTAAAGTGATAAAG